GCATCTCTTGGACGAGAATAATTAGGTCTTGTAGACGTTGTGAAATTCACGATGCTCTCAATCATAGGAGGCACTCAGGCACTTCCAAATATCAACGATGTCCGTGAGATTCTTAGGTCCAATGACTCCAGGGAGATGGAGTAATATATTGCGAGGTGGTCGCTTACTTTTTTGTTTGGGTTTTTTTGCCAAATCCATGAGTCGAAAACTTTTCCATGTTTTTTAAGTGAGCTATTTAAGCCTCGTTGGAACCGTCTAATTCGTCTTCGGCATTGCTTTCACCGCTCAATTCAGACTCGGAATCGTTATCACGTTCCGAAACATGTTCTCATTCATCTGTATCGCTATCATCTATAACTAAATCGTCATCCGTGTCAGTAAAGAACAAATTTGTGACAGCTTCAATATCCGTGCGATCATTGAGATTGAAAATCTGCCTCTTATACGCCATTTCTAAAATAAAATGAACAAAAAGGAATTAGTTGTCACGAGCGGTCACGTGTATATGAAATATACAGAACTCTCATATCACGTAGAAAGTTTTCAACACAAAAAATGCATGAAATAGTAATATCTCATCAATAATACAATTAGAATAATTAAACGATAAAGATGTGACAAAAACTTACCGAAACAGTCGCGCTAATTATGTATTGGAAATCGAGAACTTAGTTTTTAAAAAGAAAATCGATTTCACATGAGACTCAAAAAGCGTTTATTCTCTTCGAGAGCAGTACAAAGAATAAATCTTTATCAAGACAATTATTACAAGATTTGAAATATAATGAGTTTGCAAAGTCTCGGGCTCCTGTAGATAAGTCACGTTTCTTGATATCTGTTTCAACGTAACTCGCGTATATCTGAAATACGAATGCAAAATTGTCAGAAGCGTGGTATCGCTTGATAGGTTATGTGGGCACTGGAAGGTCGCTTCAGTAATGGAGAAAGAATAGCCAGGAAGGCCCGAACGCAGCGCTACCTAGTTGATAGTTATTGTACTAAATCCATTACTCGCGTATCCACCACATTTGCGCGACCGCTGGAAGGTTACGGAAACCTTATTGATGGCTCGATACAATTTCATCATGTTGACGATATCATTCCAGTCTGGATTGGATAAAGCTAATATACGGCATGCATTTATTTCTGTTCCTTCCACTGAAGGTTTTTTATGGCAATATGCCAAAATTCGTTCCAGGTTTCAGGTAATGTGTCACCTTCTGAAATGTCATTATAGGTTTGGAGCAGTGATAGCTTAAGTTGCACAGGGTATTCCATCTCTTCTCGAAGCAGTTACTTTTTAATATTTCAAACCGTTTATGATATTAGTGGATCCAGGGTGCCACAAATAGTTTTTCAACATATATGTCTTATCCCGGGGAGTTAAGCGAAACAAATTAGTTTTCCATGGTTCTGATTTTTTTTAGCATCATTTCAGCTATATTTCAGAGCTGGCTCCACAAATACCTTTCATGCACGGGATCCACTAATATTATCAAACCTGTATGTGTGTGTGTGTGAGTGTTAAATCTTAAGGTCCTCACAAACAGGAATGCTGAACTGATTTTCAGGTTTTGATCGTTTTCTTTATTTTTATCCTCACTTGGATTGATCTTACGGTGTTTCGACAAAGTCTCATTTGTCATCTACTGGTGATTTTCATTAAGTGTTCAGAAGTTGACCAACCTTACTTGATCCGCTCCCTACTATTTAGGGAAAGTGGTGTTTGTTACGTGTTCGGAAGTGGACTGTCCTTACACGATCTGCCTCCTACTATATAGGTATTGTTGGTGATTTTTACATGAGTTCTTGATAGCCTGGAACATCGAAGAAAGGTTGGAGATTTGAAACTCTTCTATAGATACTTTCACGGGAAGTGTTCAAGTGACCACACATTTGATTCCACCAAGACCGGTACATATCAGAAATATGTGACGGACTGTGGCTGCTCATCGTTTTGAAGTTCAACTCAGTTCACCTCGAACTTCACTGTTTGAGAACTCTTTCATCTGGAGATATGCAATAAACTTCCTGAGAACGTTTTTCCAAATGGATTTAATCTCCAGGGATTCAAATCCAATGTGAATCGCTACTTTCGCACAGGCACCGCTCTGAAAGTGCCTTAAGGATTTTCCATTAGTGCTTGTGTTTTGTCCTTGAAAAAAATAATTTCAACTTGTTTCCTCACAAAATGAAGTCTTGCTCTACACTAAATTTCAAAAAACAACAATACAAAGGGACCACTGAAAAAAAAAAGTAAGTATGCGATTAGTGCTTATGGAACTTGTTCTCTAATGTGTAGTAAATCTTCATTTTGTGTAGTGTTATTCATATGTTGTCATGTCATTGTGTGACTTGTATCCCACTGAAATATTCCACTCATTTCTGATCCTCAATTGTCTGTGTATACTCCTATAGGTTTACTTTTTTCATTTTTTTGCATTTTATGTAATTGTACATGGTTCATACTTCTTTATATTTTTCATACCCTGAATTGATGATCCATGTCCATGCATTTTATATTTAGCATATTTGACTTTTATATTTTCATTTATGTAATTTTGCTCACTTACCTGATCCATGTAAACGTGGCAAACAGAAGAAAATAAATATCTATCTATATATCGTAAGGAGTATCTGAAATATTCCCCAACTTCCGGAAATGACATGAACTTATCACTTATCAACGCCTGTATTCTAGAGTATCTAATAATATGTTTCAATATTTTAAAATGACAAAGGCTCCCAACTACTGCGTCAGAATAAAAAAACATGTGTAGGTGAATTGCTGTCCATTAAGCACGTGCAGCTGCCAAGAAATCTGACTAGCAAGGTTTCGCTGTGACAAATTGATTATTAATCATTATTCATATGCAAGTTGATATTAAGATACTGAAATGGAAGGTATCTTCCATTCATCCAAATGATGAATTCCTCATTCAAAAGATCTTCAAAACTTTCAATAAATTCTGGGTTTTTCAGCTGTTCATAATTTTCAGATGATCTTTGAGAAGGGTAAATCAAAATGTTTCATTAGTGGTACTTAAAAAGAATAATCGTGAGTAAGAAATGGTTTGACGAAAACCATATAAAGACACCATCTGATGACAGATGAATGAGAGTTTCGACGGTGACCTATTGCCTTTACATCAACCTCCTAACGAAATGAAATCGTCTCTCTCTTAGCAGCTTTCACACCACGCCATCAATTGGATAATTGCTCAGCTCTAGCTCTTTGGTCGCTGTTATTATTAAGTTATATGTCAACAATAAAAGCTGCAGAGTGACAGAAAGTGATTTCGTGTTTGGCAGTAGAATCATTTGATTATTTAAACATTTATCGATATTACCAAAAAATATTTTTTTTTATTTGTAGAACAATTATAAAACTTGAGTTTATGAGAGATGAGAAGGATGAAAAGTTATAGTGTTTTTGTTTCTACTAAAAAATAAGAATTTTTTCACTGTTTCAGAAGGAATCAAATGAAGAATCAAGTGATAATAGCAAAAGTAACAAGAATACAACGAAGAATAACAAATTATCCACCCAAATGATTGACAGCAGTGATACTGATGAGGAATTTAGTAAATTTTGTTCGAAGAATGAAAAATCCAGACAAGATATCGTTAGGTATGCTTGCTTTTATCAGCAAGAAGTATTTAAATTTTAAAAAGCTAAAAATAATTCAAAGTGAAACGGTTTTTATTGTATTTTTTATATTCATGATAATTACGTAGATCATTTATTATAAGGGAACTTGATTAATTAATGATTTCAAGAATCAAGGTAATCTGGGATTTTAAATTTTAAAATATAACTCCAAACATTTAGAAGCTACAGTTGTAAAACTTAACCAAAAAATACAGTTTTAGTATTAATAGAAGTCCAATTTTATTGTATATAATTGAATAATAAAAATCACTGTGTAAATGCATTCAAGACATAAGTGGAACCACCTATTGGTGTGACATCCAAGTTTGTTTGCCAAGTTGTAATGTCGGCATTGATGACTTGACCAATCTTTAAAACCGAAAATTTTATTCAACATGAAATATTTGGAATAGGAGCAGTCAAAGGTGTACTCTCTTTATATTTATTCCAAGATTTCAATAAATTTTATTATCATTTTCACAGAACAAAAAAATATAAGGAACGTGTGCATCATTTAAAACATTTTTACCTACTTACCTAAATAGTAAAGAAATGGAAACAATAATTTGGATTTTCAAACTTTGACATAATGTAAATAAATATATTGATACTTGACAAATTTCAAGTCAACATACTTGCTTGATTGAGAAAGATATAAAACCAAAAATAAATTTTTATGTGTGTGCAATATTATTTAACATCAGTGATATCCTTATGAAACATAAATTAGTACAAGTTAAGTTCAAATTATAAGTTAAAGGAATGGTTATGAACGATTGTCGAATCACAATCAGAGAAGTCGCCGATGATTTGCGTGAAAATACGAAAATAAAAACGGATTTGTGGAAAAACAATTCATGCACCTGCTCACATTCCATTGCTTCCTTATGAATTTTTGGCCGAAAATATTACTGTAACGATGCCCTAGACATGGCTCTGGTGACTTTCTCATGTTTCCAAAAATTGAAAACCTTAAAGGACTGGTGTTTCACAAACAAATGATATTAAAAGTATATTGCGGAAGAAGTCGAAGGCCATCCCAAAGATCGAGTTTGAGAAGTGTTTCGACTTTTTGTGTGGTCCTTCATAGAAGTCTACAAAATGTTTTCTTTAACTGGAAATATATTAATTTTATTTGAGTCATCCCCCGTTTCTACAATGTACAGTTGTTTCCATGTTTTTTAACTTTATAAGTATTTCTATATCCTTCAGATTTGATAATGTATTAAGGAAAACATGCTGGCTTCATATTCACAACTTCACAACATTATAGATGTAGATTCTTCAGCTCTTATCAGATTTGTTGGAGGTATTATTGAGAATTTATGTCTGAAAACATTATTGTTGCCGAAGGCTTGCTTGGTTTTTCACAAAATTTATAGATCATTAATCACGAACATATGAAGGGTGCAGTGGAAAAACGTCGGAAAGTAGTTTCAGTGGCATTTGTACGCCAGGGACACGAAGTATCAACTTGCTCAATGGCTTCGGGAAAAACAATTAATCTTAACTAAAAATCACGTTTGAAAATATGTTGCACAGCTGAAGAACGATGAGACTTGAGCGTCCTAGAAAGAATGTTGAGTTTCCACCTCCTGTCTCCAGTCTTCCAGCATCTCAAGAATGGCAAGGAATGTTCTCATCAACTTCAAGTTTGCTCTTGTTTATTTCATAAAACGAATTAAACGCTGTTCTGCGTGCAAAAAGAACTTTGTGTATTTGAAACTTTAGATTTAGTTTTCTCAGAATCTGTTCAAATGGAACTTCATACTTTTTCTACCGGATCCTTTATGTGCATTCTTATGTATTTGTTTTAATCTGCAAAACACTAAAAGATCATATATATGTTTCGTTAAAGAAATTGCCTCAGTTTTTCACAACTGGATATTATTTTTTGAATGAAATAATTGCCAACTAATTGCTAATTTAAAATCATTCACAATTTTGTAATTTCAGTAAAGCCAAAAAACGGATAAAAAAAACCATTGTTCTCTCTGACTCGGACGAATCTGGTAGTGATAAAAAGAAGAAAAACAATAGTGAAGACTCTGACATTAAGAGTGACAAATCAGATTCGAATAAATCTAGTGAAGACGAGGGAGAAAGTGAAGAAAATAAGTAAGTTCAGTCCTGAATTTAGTTTCTGTTTTGAATTATTTTAAAATAAACAACAATAATCTGTAACTGTTTCAATAATTCTCAGGAAGCCCAAACGTAAAAGAATTAAGAAAACAAAAGACAGTAGTAGTAGTAGTGAAGAAGATAGATCTACCAGAAAACAAATCAGAAAAGTAAGTTTAACGTGGCAAATGTAATTTTAAAATTCAACTAGTGATTTTTCAGGTATTAGATAGAGCCTCTTTATCTGCAACTACCAAAAAGGCAGAAGCTGATGAAAAGGAACGTAAGGCTCGTATCGCTGAAAAGCAAAAAAAAGTAAGTCCATCAATGGTGAAATCTTGACTTGTAAAAGTATCCATTTCTTTCTTTACTTTCAGTATAATAATATTTTTGAAGAAAAGAAAGATTCTAAAATAGAAAAGCTTGTTTTGGACCATGACGAGAATACAAAGAAAGATGTACTTGAAGTTCATAAAAAAATTGTCAAAAAATTGAAACCACATCAAGCAAATGGTATCCAATTCATGTGGGATGCTTGCTTTGAGTCTGTCGAAAGGTTAAAAAAAGAACCTGGATCTGGATGTATTCTAGCCCACTGCATGGGATTAGGAAAAACATTACAGGTAGAATATGTTTTCATTTGTATTTAGTAGGTTAGGTTCACTTATACTACTTGTTTATAAAATAATCAGGGTTTTCTTTAAATGAAATGTACCAAGAAAGCTGAAGCTGATTCTGGACTGATACCTGTCTGATATAATTCAATGCCCTTCTTGGTATAACCCAGAGGAGTAGTTATTTGATTTATAGTCAGTATTCAAATATGCCTACTTAGTTCAAAATAATATTTTGACTTGATAGGCGGAACTGTAGTAATCCAATATAAATAATGCTCTCACATACTGGAACTGCATTATATGCTAGTACTTCCAGACTATCTTTCAGGATTGACCAAAGTTGCTCCAGTTTAAACCCGGTCATATTTTATGTAAAACGTCATATAGGTGACACCAAAAAATATCTGCTTCCAAAAAATAAGAAACAAAAGTGTAATCGGCCATGCTTAAGGTATGTTAATGAGAAATTGAGAAGGCTTTTGTTTTCGATAAAACAATAGTTTGTTGTGAAGTCTTTAATGTTTAAAATTGAGGGCAAAACAATAAAAATAACTTACAACTGCCCGACCTACTTGAGATTCTCGACAAATGGGGCTTTATTTGCAAAGGATTGAAGAGATTGAATAAATTGACATATATGTTATATGAAATAGTACGCCTCATTGTCTAGTACTACGTCGTAAGGATTATGCAGTTCCAATTCGACTTCCATTTATCGTATAATTCAGCACTATTACGTACTTTGGATTCAGTAAGTCCAAAAATAGTTGTTCCAAGTGGGGAAAATCTATGAAACACAGACACAGAGCCTTCTCATTCATTTGGCGAAGAAAGTGTTTCAACTCAACTAGTTATATTGTATATTGGTGTTTCATAAAAATAAAAGTATTTTCAAAAACTATATTGAAAAACTCAAATACTACATGGATCAATAAGTCCCGAGACTAACCCAGAGATGGCGCTCTTAGTAAACCAGTAACCACGTCTTTCTAGAGTACTAACCTTTGCTTGAAACGTGTCGAAATTTTAAGTCGATCGGACCAGAAACAGCTGAGTTATCGAGGTTAGAGTAAAGTCGTTTTGTAGTTTGTTTAAAAAATGGAAAAAACCGAGTTTCGTGTTCTGATAAAACATTGTTTTTTAATGGGTAAAAACACCGTGCAAGCGAAAGAATGGATTGAAAAATGTTACCCGGACTCTTGTCCATCAAAAGCAACGATTTGTCGGTGGTTTGCCGAGTTTAAACGTGGTCGTACCGACACAAATGACGCAGAACGCTCGACTAGACCTGTGGAAGCTGTTACACCGTAAAATGTGAGTGAAGTGACAAAAATTGTAATGAAAGATCGTAAAGTGAAGCTCCGTGAGATTGCTGAGATGACACAGATATCATATGGAAGTGTATTTACTATCCTTCATGAAAAATTGAGCATGAAAAAGGTTTTTTCTAAGTGGGTGCCGCGATTGCTTTCGATGGAACAAAAACAGCAACGAGTCGATGATTCAGAAAGCTGTTTATCGCTATTTACTCGCAACAAAAAAGATTTCTTGCGTTGTTACGTGACCATGGACGAAACATGGATACATCACTACACTCCAGAGTCAAAGCGGCAGTCATCTGAGTGGCGCACAGCTGGCGAAAGCCGTCCGAAACGTCCGAAAACGCAGCAGTCAGCTGGCAAAGTGATGGCGTCAGTTTTTTGGGATGCGCATGGCGTGATTTTCATTGACTACCTCGAAAAAGGTAAATCGATCAACAGTGATTATTATATTGACTTACTGGTACGTTTGAAGGAGGAAATCGCAAAAAAACGACCGCACATGCAGAGAAAAAAAATCCTTTTTCACCAAGACAATGCACCTTGCCACAGGTCGATGAAAACAATGGCAAAATTAAACGAATTGGGCTTTGATCTGCTTCCCCACCCCCCATACTCACCAGATTTAGCCCCCAGTGACTACTGGCTCTTTGCTGATCTTAAAAAAATGCTCCAGGGAAAAAGATTTGGCTCAAATGAGGAGGTCATTGCTGAAACTGAAACTTATTTTGAAGCGAAAGATACATTTTTTTATAAACATGGTATTGAAAAATTGGAAAAGCGTTGGAACCATTGTATCACCCTAAAAGGAGATTATGTTGATGAATAAAAAAAAATTTTGTAAAAAATGTTGTTTTCATTGTTAGTCTCGGGACTTATTGATCCATGTGTTATAACATATATTTCAATAGTTACTATAACAAATTAATTACTGAAATATTTATTTAGCGATTCCCAAAAACTAATCTCTACTTGAAAACAGTCCCTTTTCAAATTACTACAGGTCATTTGTAAAATTTATGTTCGCATCATATACTATGTTGTTGTGTAAGGAGAATAGTATATTCAGTAGATTTATTACGATATTTTGTTTACTTGTAATGCACTGTTTGGAACCTTTAGTGTAGTAATGAATATTACTGGAGGTTTTTCCAAACACCAAACCGTTATTTTAACACCTCGACATGTGTTTCGATCACCAAGTGATCATCTTCAAGAGGAAGATCAACTTCGAAAGGAAGAACAGTTTGATCTTAGAAAGGAAGATCAGTTTGATCGTTCTCTTGAAGATGATCACTTGGTGATCGAAACACATGGCAAGGTGTTAAAAAACAGTTTGGTGTTGGGAAAAAACTTGAGTAATATTCAGTATATTGTTTATTGAAACATGAAGAAATAAATATTCTACTGTTACAAAGTTGTCCTAATGTTTGTTGTTTGTTCCATTTCTTTAACGACAGTATGACTTTACTAATTATAATAAAGGTTTTTCAATATTGAGCTAAAAATGTGACATTTTAATTTCAAGGTTATTGCATTATCACATACTTTGTTGACCAACCACGAGAAGACGAATGTAAATAAAGTTTTGATCGTATGTCCTTTGAGTACAGTTTTGAATTGGAAAGCAGAATTCAAAAAGTGGATTCCCAGTAGTGATACACTTGAGGTTTATGAACTAGTGTCTTGTAAGAAAAATTTCGAAAGACAGTACATTGTGAATGAATGGCATCAAGAAGGAGGAGTTTTAATAATAAGTTATGCCATGTTTCGAAACTTGAGCAACCCTGATAATAAGAAACTTAGTAAAAAGCTAAGGAACGCTTTTCAGGTGGGATTCATCGATCCAGGTACCTCATAACGATCAGTTCTTATTTCGTTTTGAAAATACATGATTTATTTCAGGTCCAGATTTGGTGGTGTGCGATGAAGGTCACCTACTCAAGAATGAGAAAACCAATTTGAGTATTGCAATGAATAGAATTAAGACTGCTCGCAGAATAGTCCTCACAGGTACACCACTACAGAACAACCTTAAGGAATATTGGTGCATGGTGCAATTCATAAAACCCAATCTGCTTGGTACTTACAAAGAATACATGAACCGGTTTGTGAACCCCATTACTAATGGTCAATACACCGATTCTACACCACGAGACACTATTCTGATGAGAAAAAGATCACATGTGCTTCACAAGCTCCTAGATGGTGTTGTACAGCGTAGAGATTATGCTGTTCTAGAACCATACTTGCCTCCAAAATATGAATACGTTCTTTTTGTGAAGCTGTCAGAAACTCAAGTCAAACTATACCAACACTACATGGACAAATATGCTCGACAAAGTGATGGTTCAAATAGAACTTCATTTTTGTTCACAGATTTTCAGAAACTACAAAGAATTTGCACACATCCAAGAACACTGGCTGAAAAGGGTAGCGAAAAAAAAGAGAAGTTTGATGATGAAGAATCTGAAGGTTCTTTGAAGGATTTTATTGATGATGCAGAGGCATCATCTTCTGGAAAATCGTCATCAAATTCTTCCGGTTCGGAAACAGATGACAGTGGTTCTGGGAGTGGGGATAAGATGAAATCGAAAAAACAACAAAAAACAAGAGTAACCAGAGCACAAACTGCCTACAGTAAGTAATTATCAAAAACAAAACAAGTAGTTTTTACAAAGCACTTCGAAACATAACATATGAACACAATAAAATTAGAGTGTTTCACATAGAATATTCATATCAAAATCAAAAAAGATTATTTGTTGCATTAGGAAGCTGTCAAACCAATGATGGAAATGTCATATTTTTGACAAAATTTGCAGTAAGGTACTATCCATAGTGTGAAAATAAGCAATTTGGTTTGGGAAGTTCATTGTCTAGTTAGTTTAAAAATGATTAATGTTTTCTCATAGTACCATGCTTGGAATGAAGTGCTCTAGTTGTAATGAAGGAAAGAGAAATGAAACTTTCTATGTTATACAATAAACGTTAGTTACAAATAAAAGTGGTAAAAAACATAGAAAGTTTCATTTCTCTTTTCTTCATTATGATTTCCTGCCACGTAGTAACAGTTACATCCATCAATGTATTGCTCTAGTTGTGTTAATTGGACTGATTCGTGTGCTCTTTTTGCAGGTAAGTAGTCCTAATTCATGTTGATTTTCTTTCACTTTCGATTGCCAGGCGCAAAATTCGTCAGTCATTTCCTTCTGGGCAATACTTGGTAGATGACTTCAGATTGGTTTATTACGTGAATGTCAGCTGGGGTGCCATGAGTGGGTTGAGCAAAGGTACCTCCCACACATGTCGAAAAGAACAGTTTTTATTCTATTTTAAATCAATCAAAACGTCATCTGGCTGTATCTCGGTAAAAAGATTGTGAACTTAGGATCCAGGCAGGAGCATTTATTGCCTATTTGAATACACCGGCTGACAAATTTTCCTTTGGCATGCTTCTTGCCGACTTCTTCAGTTTGTTCAGTATTATATCCCTTCAATCAGCTTGCAAATTTTAATCTCGTCAGCTGGTGTATTTTACGTGATTGTTTTTTTTTTCCAACTGCTGCGTTTACACCCTTCACTGTATATTGCGTACAGACTATTATCTGACAAACTTTCAGTTGAAAGAAATTCATTGAATAATAATATTAGGGTGTGTTAAAAGTTTTGTCCGTTTTAATGTCGTGTTTTTGTAGCTCCATATGTCAATAAATAATGATTTTAATTTGCCGTAGTATATACTGATCAATAGAGAATTTTGTACTCTATGCATTGATGCTGTTAATTTTTTCAAGATTTTAATTTTATTCCGCTTTTCAGCTCATTATTTACTATATGATGTCGTTGAGCAATTTTTGTCCAAATTTTCTTTACGACTTAAAATTGAACCAAAACGCTGCCGAAACAGCCCGAAAAATCAACCAGGCAATGCCTGGTTTGCGAAATTTCGTTCCGGAGATTTTAGCCTCGAAGTGGTCTGCTTACAGGATGAGGATTTGTGATGAAAAGTGGATTCTTTTCGACAACAGGAGATATTTAGGATAGTGGTTGGACACCGATGAGCCAGGCACTTCTCAAAGACGAAAACCCACTGATAAAAGGCCATGGGTACTGTATGGTGGTCAGAGGCTGATCTGATTCACTATAACTTGTAACCGTGCCATACCATCACAGCAAAGTCCTAATAATTGATTGATTGAATCAACGAAATGTACCGAAGGTCAGCATCAGCCGACACTGGTCAACAGAAAAGGTCCAGTCCTGATCCGCTTCAACGCCTGACCGCACGAATCACCGTCTGAATATTGAACGAAGTTCTGCCTTACCCATCATACTTACCAATTAGGATCAGGCAAAAATGGCCTTCGTCGATTTCGTCGAATCCCGAGCTCGCAATTTTTTCGCTGACGGAATTAATCGACTTGTTTTGTTGGAAAAAGTGTACTGATTCAAATGGCGCTTATTTCAATAAACTCCACTGCGATATCACAGATCAAAATAGACTTATGAAAACTGACAAAACTTTTGAAACAACCAATATCTGTATGGGATCCCTGATCGGGAGGCCTTTAGACCCTCTCTAACGATTTCTATTAGCCTGAAAATCAATTTGACGTTGATTTCTCCAGAATTCTCCTAATACGGTCCATACAATTTTCCACATTATTTGTATTCGCTATACCCATTCCATTTTAAGACGTTTTTCAGATGAGTGAGTACCTTTGGTAGACTCTCAGGTTTACAGATGCGCCAGGCCATCTCAACTAACGTTTGCGCCCACGTTAACATGTTCAAAGACATCCAAGTGCCCGATAAAACTCACAGCTACTATCCGAGACTTTATAGAGGGGCGATAGACACGAAGACAATTACAATTGATAAGAATATGGAATCAATATGAATAAAGTGTGGACACCTGCACTAAATTGCACATGCATCGGCAAATTAACTTAAACAATAAAACGAAGCCGCCCACTTCATCAATAGAATAAAATCAGAAACCCGACATTAAAAAATTTAATATGTGCTGTGCTGACAAATAAAGCACTTTACCCATTGCCCCATTGGTTTTGATAATGTCATGGATACGAGAGCTGTTTGATAAGTCGGTGACATATTTTGAGTAAAATGATTAGTTTTTTATTTTTCAACATATTTTCGTTTCAGCTCAATACATTCAGTCAAGCGTGCTATCTAAAAACCAAAATAACTCAGTTAACACAAGTGCTACTGAGTTGTTCTTCCACTCAGAAGCACTTGTGCTGTTTGATTATTCAAACTATGATAAAACAGCAATGAAAGAATCGTGTCCTCCATTATATTCGAATATATTTACCATGTTTTAAAAATATTCTCAGTGTTGAAAATGGAAACTATTTTAAACCGCTATTTGTAATGATTTCACTTACCGCACCCAATTTGTTAAATCCTGCTATTAATTATGGTAAAAATTGGCCCCTTCTTGGATAAGTAACAAAATTTGACAGTAGTCTAATAAGACATGGCGGTTGACAGCAGCATTGTTGCATCCCTCGTATTTTTACATTTTTCTTTGAACAACAAATCCCCCACCTTTCTATATTCCAGGCTACTCAAACTAGAGTAGAGCCTAGATGATGACAGCACGACCAGCTGTCGAAAGCGCTCGCATATAATTAAATAGGAGTTATTATATACCTCCGTGATAGCTTTTTGTAACTTAAAATAATCCTGAAACTTGTGTTTGATTGGGAAAGAAAGGTTTTGACTTTCTACTTCTCCATCTGTATACAAAAAAATGGGAATCATACAAAGAAAGGAAGAAAGCAATTGATTTCAAAATGAACTCTTTACAAAGATGTGTAGATCATGCAAAGAAGTAACTTTCGGACACAAACTAGAAGAAAAAGCCCTCTCGAAACAACAACGAAAGAAAAAATACTTTTGAAACAACTACTTTTATATGAACATTGACTTATTCAAAAAAACACTTTTTTCTATTCAGTTTGTACTCCAAACATTCGTTACGGAATTGATTCAGATATCATTCACAGGATTACTACACAATATCGTATATGAAAGAGGAAGCATTTCACTTACACAAAACACATATCCTCAACGGTTGACATTGATGTTTCGAAATAAGACATTTGTCAGCACCAAACTAGTGTTTGATTATTCTTATCATCGCCTCAGTAATGTTCTCTTGGATCTCCCTTGAAGTACTCCTTTATTCTTGTGTCCTCCAGCAGTAAAGTATTTTTCATTTATTCGAGATCTAGTTGTTTGGTCGCCATGCTTCTAATTGGTTTAATAGTTTGACAAAATAGTGCAAGGAATTAATCAAATTGTTAATGTGCTTTTGATATTCAAGAGAGTTTTAACAAAACACAAAATTTGACATTCTTTCAAATTATTCTCGTTTTAATAGGTAATTTCATACAACTTTGAAGTGTTATATTACCACTTCTGCACATTTTGATAGTTATGTGCCATTCTATTTTATCTTTTTCCAACTATTTATGATAATTCTCTCTTATGTGATTGATTTTGAATAATATTAAATATATGTTTTCTTATTGCTTCATGCATGATATATCAATTTAGAAAATGTCAAATGAAAATTGCAGTGATAATTTAATTATGAAAATTCAACTACATTAAAATCCAAAAAAAAAGATTTACTAATATTCTTATTTTAATTTTGATGTTATTTTTCAGGAAAAGAAAATAATGAAGGTAGTGATCCAGAATTGGTTGAAGAGGTAAAAAAGGAATGGTGGCAGGAGTACTGTGATGGTGAGGAATTGGACAATATTAATAATAGTGGAAAATTATTTTTGTTGTTCGAAATTCTGAAAGAGTGTGAAGAAATTGGTGATAAAGTTTTAATTTTCTCGCAATCGTTGTATACCTTGAACTGTATCGAGTATTTCCTAGAGAAAATAGACGAAGCTACTCAAAATGGCACACCTGAAAAAATAGGCGGCTATAAAGGATCTTGGGCATTAGGTCTGGACTATTTTCGGTTGGATGGTTCTTCCAGCTGTGATAACAGGCACAATTGGTGTGACGTGTTTAACAATCCAAACAATATAAGAGCTAGGTTGTTTCTGATATCTACCAAGGCCGGGGGATTAGGAATTAATTTAGTAGCCGCTAATCGAGTGATCATTTTTGATGTTTCTTGGAATCCCTCTCATGATATACAAAGCATTTATCGAGTTTACAGGTTCGGCCAGACGAAGCCGTGTTATATTTATCGCTTTGTCACATACGGAACAATGGAAATGAAAATATATGAACGACAAGTTACGAAACAGGCGATTTCAAAAAGAGTGATAGATGAACAGCAAATCGACAGGCATTACAATCAAAATGATTTGCAGGAGCTCTATAAGTGCGATCTGGATCCTACTGACAGACCCATACCTATGGTGCCAAAGGATGTTCTCTTGGGCGAAATGTTACAGAAACACGAGAAAACAATCTATAAATATCATTTACATCAGTCTTTATTGGAGAATAAAGAGGACGAAGGGTTGAACGAGGAGGAGAGGAAAGCTGCTTGGGAAGAATTTGAAAATGAAAAGGTCATTCGAAAATACACTTATAATAATACTGGTATGGCTCAGATGAACCAGGGAATGATGAGTGCTCAAGCGATTTCAGCAGCTTTGGCAAATATTGTGAGAAGGGACAATCCTGATTGGTCCGAAATTCAAATCAAAAGTATCATTCCTGCCCTTGTTCAGCAGCTGCAGGTTCAGTTAGCTGAAAATGACATGTCGGTGAGTCCATCACATTGTTTTTCAAATTTTTTTTGTTATCCCAAAAAACAAAGTTATTTACTGAGAAGGTATTCAAGAAATACTTTATTGTGAGATTTTCACTAAACAGTTTCACAAAAACGCAACACGTATCTAAGACACGCCTGAAGAAGCCATTGTATAGCAAAACACGTGTTGTGTTTTTGTAAAACTGTTTGGTGAAAATCTCACAATAAGGTGTTTCCTAAATACATTATGGATTTTCATCAAATATCGACCGATTCCATCACATATAGACAGATAGTTGGTTTTCACAAATATTAAACTTTGGTCATTGGGCCGGTTCAGAAACAAGAGATGTATCCTTACCTGCACTTGATCTGAAGTTGTCTTGGTAATCTTGCAGTTGGTTCTCAAGTCGCTTTGGTAACAGTTGCACTAGGTTCACATATCCTTACTCTTAAAGAAGTTTATTTCTGAACACAGGGAGCTTGTAGCAAAATGATATAATGAAGTGCACACATGAGCGTTAAGCGGTCTAGTGGGTATTGTTTTTTTGTGCTGTCCATACCTGACACCCGGGTTTTTTTTTTCCAAAAGTAGTGAAAACCTTGTTTCTCACTCGTTTCACAAGGTATTTAATATAAGGAAATTGTTTATTCATTATAAATCAAGAGGGTCCAGATATAGAATATGCAATGTATTTTCACAGAAAAATCATTAAAGCTTTGACCAATTTTATGAAATGTGATGGAATCAGCCGATACTTTATGAAAATCCATAACGTTTTCAAAAAACACTTCATTGTGGGAATTTACTAAACAGTTTTACAAAAACACAAAACGTGTTTCGCTATACAATAGTGTGTCTATACATGCCTGAAGAAGCTATTGTATAGCGAAACACGTGTTGGGTTTTTGTAAAACTGTGTAGTGAAAATCGCACAATAAAGTGTTTCTTGAAACAATTTTATGAAATTGACCCAAACATGGGGTCACTTTCTGAATTCCAAAAATAAAAGCAATTTTTCATTAAAACGTTAGGTTGTACTGAGAAGTAGTCATATAGTTTGGTCCTGATTAGTTTTCTGACTGATCAGAAGTACAAATTATTGAGGCATGAGTATTATTTTTGACCCAACTGTAGCTTATGTATCATTATATACTTTGAGAGCGTAAACGTCTGAAATACTTATGACTTTTCATACATATACAACTTTTCACTTTTTGAGCAATTCTTTTTAAAGCTGCAGCTAGATACTAAAATTCCAATTTATTTTAAGTGCACAACATACAAAAAATGTACATTACCACTCGACTACATACGAAGTCCAGTAAGTTTTATTAGCTTAAAAAACTCAAACTGATTATAATAAACGGTTAAAATCCACAGATCTCCAGGCAAATCGTCACACATGTCAAGAAGGACGAATCAGTCTGTTTCTTGAGTTAGTAAAATGTCACTTGCATTTGTGTTCGGGACAAGTCTACTCAATAGGAGCTTTCAAATAATGCACTCATTTTAATTGAATTGAATGGGTTTCAATGGATTTATTTAGATTCACATAAAAATTAATCTTGAAATATCCGTTTTCATTCATAATATGTTAATTATTTCATAAAGTCCACTCTACATGCTTTTTGTGTAACGAACATATTTCACCAAAATATTTATAAAATGACTTCACTTGTGTCGTAATTTGTGGCTTGTTTCGTGATTTAGTTTGTATGAGGATAATGAAAGTTAATTTGGATCTATTTCAGATGTATGGTCGTGTGATGCAAGAAATTCAACTCATGAGAGCCCAGAAAATGAGAGAAGCCTACTACCAAAATCAAATGATGAAGCTGATTCAACAACAACAGAATCGACAAACCGTGTTGGGAAATTTGAATGTAAATCCAGCACATTTAGCACAGTAAGTGATTTCGAATTATTTTTATGGAAAATTAAAAAAGTTTTGAACACAAAATCATTATGAAAAAATACATTCTACTATCAAAAGACATTTTCAGGTAAAATATAATAATGTAACAGTTCATCCAGAAACCTATACCATCGATCGATAGTACTTTTTGATGCTCCCAACAAAATGTTTTATTCAGTCTGAAAAAAGAATATTTGGGTTGAAAATAAATAACTAGTGATGCGCCGAATTTTCATTCGATATTCGGCATCTTTTTCTCTATTTGCATTCGGTCAAATCATTCGGTTTTGGTGCCGAATATATTCGGTTTGAGTATTTCTATTTTCTTGACTACACAACAAGGTATAGAACTAAACAACAAAACTTCTTATGTGAGATTTATGTCATATTATAAGTCGAAGAAATCCTATGAAGAATGTGTTGAATAAAGCTGATAAAATGAAGCAATTGAACTTCAAATCAACATTTATATTTGAACTCCAAATCAAAACAATATTTTTTTAAAAACTTTTATTAAATCATTAATTTTCAAACTTGAAATCAACATTTTTTTAAACCTCACTCAAATCCACATTTCCTTATGATACTTATATAAACATTAATTTCCAAATTCGAATCAATATTTAAACCGAATAATTCAGCCGAATATCCGATTCGGTAAAGGTTAAACCGAATAGTATTTGGTTATACGGTGAAACCACTACTCGGCGCATCTCTAGAAATAACCAACATCATCTTTGATACTGCAATTTTATAAATAAAGTAGTATATTATCACAGCCTTTCAAGCATGTTTCTCCAAAAAAATTTTTTCTTACTCCGTGTTGATGTGAATAATACTGAGTTTTAGAGGTTTGATTGGAAAAATATAAATTTGAATAAAATATAACACAAATTCTTTGAAAAAAAAAAAATTATGTAGGAATGCATGATTAATAATACCGCTACTGAGTACGAAGCTTAACTGTACAGTTATTAAGATATTAGTTATAGAAGTTCAGAATATTGCAAATGCTAATGGGGGTCGTACGTCTATTTCCAAACGACACACCGACCATTGAAGCATTACTCAACTAATGCTTGCGTCCAACAGCTTCTAGTGGTTAACTCTGATCCACCTCTGAATGTGGAAGACTGTAACAGAATTCGGCCGCTAAATAATTTTTTTGTGTAATTTGACAGGTGATAGTCCTGATTGCGTTCACTTTGTAATGAAATTTCAAAACTGGCATATTGTTAGAGATGGTTATAATGAAATCACATCAATGGAAATGATGTTGCTATCTATGGTGTGTTGAGTATATGTCTGATCATTATTTTTTTAATTTGATAAAACATAACAATAATATTTTGTCAGGTTGATTCATGAAGTGCTTTTACCCTGCATTTTGCACAACGCTTTCCGGTTTTTCTTCTCAGATGTATACAATAGTCTAGTGTTGAGTGTCACTATACCTTGCTGTCACCTTGAACATATTATGTATTATCATAAAAGTTCAGAATTTAAAGAATTGAAATGTACATTCTAACTAACAAAGCAACTCACAACAAAGCAACTAGTTGAAGTTATTTTTCCAAACTTGTATATTTTCATCATTGGTAAGAAGAATAAAATTATGACAAAAGCTTTAGTTGGTTAACAATGGTGAATTTGCCTTAAACGAGTTGAACATTTTAAGGTGTTCCATCCAAGTTGTTAGAGAAATATTTTTTTTCCTGATTGGTCAATTATTAGATCTTTGAACACCCAGGGTTGGCTCCACATGTTTGTGATGTTGCAACTGAAACTCCCTCTTTTTGCCATGCAGATCTACCTGGTATTGTTTTTTATGACATCTATTCCTCACTGTTGCAATTCTTTGCTCTGCGTCAGAGTTATCACCTCATTCTTATATCTTCTCCTCGCGGGCTTGCTTTCTGATAAATGAGTGGTTAGCATCCCATCTGATCTTGCTTTCCATCATCACCCCAGCAATAGTTTCAGGTGTTAGACATGTTTCCAATAGTGACTTCAGGCTCACCCTGTCTGTGTTCCATTTTGGCCATAACATAATTGTATGTCCTGGCGTATCAGCTTCTACGCAGTAAACACACTACTCGTCTTCAGTTTTTCCTATGTTTGTTATGTGTATTTCGAAAGACCCATATCTCATCGGAAATTGTGTTAAGATGTAATTCAGCCTACGATATTTGCATTCCTGTCATCACAATATTGGGTATAAGTTTTGTGTTTCCTCCCATCTTGTATAATATCTCATTAGATTTCCTATTTTTTTCATCGCAGGCTTGGTCTGAAGTTGATATTGGTCCTCATAGATGGGATATCTCTTTAAAATCAAAAGTTTGATTGCCACAATTCATTTTACAACGTACAGTTTCTGTCAAGACCGTCTGATAAGCAACAGCTACTTATATCAATGTATATTTCAACAGCATTTTGTGCCAAATAGGTGCACGATATATCACTATGGGTTGGACAACTCCATTCATAACTGCCTTTTTTAAATTTCGTTAGGGCTGGTATAGTTTTATTAGCTTTCGCCACTCTGTGCTTTATAAGCTCTCTATAAGATAAGATATTTATTCACCTTCAAAAAATTTTACAGAAAAAAGTGTGTTACAATAGTCAAACAACTGTTTTTGTTAGGTACGTCACAAAAAATAAAAAAATATGTTAGTGTATGAAAATTTCGATAATTACTTATATAAAATAAGTCACATTCATACATATATGAACAGTTTTAACTTTAGAGGCACACCGATGGAAAACACAAACAATAATCACAAAATCTGTAGTCCACGCTTTTGACAAGCAAAAATATATTTTTATTTTTGTTTAGGGACATAACGTTTGAATTTGAAAAGATTTCCATTTTCAAAAATGTTTCCTCTGACTTACGTTCTATCCTGTAACAAAAGGGTAGAGTCATCTGCATACATAAAAACATCAGCAGTATCAATAAATGTTGGTAAGTCGTTCATGTAAATGATGAACAATAGGGGACCTAGCACTGAGACCTAAAACACCCCGTGTTTGACTTCTATAGTTTTTGATGTCTTATTATTTAGTGATACATACTGTCTTTTAGGTATGATTCGATGAGATCTACTGCTGTTCCGCGTATTCCATATTTGTGGAGTTTTTTCAACAAAATATCATTAGAAACACTATCAAATGCCTTTGACAGGTCACATAAGATTGCACGCGTATGAATCCCTACATCTTGATTTTTTACTATCGTGTGCACTATATCGGTGACAGCTTGAGAGGTCAATCTGAGAGAACAAAAACCATACTGATGATCATCTCGGAGTTTTCCCTTTTCTAAAGAATTGGTTAATATGTTCTTGATAATAGCTTCTATTATTTTTGGGATTATAGGAGTTATTGTTATAAATCTATAGTTGTCACAATTATTAGCATTAGAGTAGGGGTTGCTTTCCCCAGTTTTAAGTGTGATGGAAACTCTCCCTTTACCAGGCAGATATTCATCAGATGTGTAAGAGGTTTTCCTAAAATTTCAGGAACGAGTTTTATTATTTTCGAACTGATATTGTATGCATCCATACTATTACTGTTTTTTAAGGTTCTCAAAAGTGTTAAAATTTCGTTCTCGTTTGTGGGTCTCAGGAATACCAAGGTTTTTACATTCATTTTCAAAAGTTTCTCACCTCTCAGATCGGTGGGAGGTATTGTTTTAATAATATTGTCAACCATTGTGGCACTATATTCACTGAATTCATCCGCAGTAAGGCACGTGCTTTCACTACTAAAAGTGGATTTCCCCTCTAATCTCATTTACTATTTTCCAGGCAGTTTTTGAAACATTTTTACTATTTGTGAGGGCACTATCATACACCTCCGTTTTAGATTTGTTCATTTTTTTCTGTAGTCTTTTTTTACAAAATTATAGGAGTGTTTTGATTCTGGATTCCCCGTCATTTTATAAATGTAATTTTTTTGTTTCAGTTCATTTTTCAATTTTTTTAGATCTTCTGTGAACCACTTTGGTTTATGAATTTTTTGATTTACTTTTTTTAGAGGAAATGCTACTTCAATCACATACGTTATGTTATCACACAAGAATTTAGCTAAGATATTTGGAGTCATATAAGTAAAATTGTATCCAATCTATTTTCTTCATATGATGTTTGAACTCTGCTATGCCCATTTCACTTATTTATCTGAATTTTTTTATCTTTTTTTGTTCCAGACAGAATTTTATCTATTTTAACACTGATAAATTGCCCTAAATGAAGTATTTTCTTCTTTGCTCTGTGAGATAAAATTTACATTAAAATCCCCTAGTAGTACAACTTCAGTATGGTTCCTGGTAATGAATTCCAAGATATTATCAAGAGAATTTGAGAATTTGTCAAAATCACCACGATTAGATCTATATATTGTCACTGTAACAGTATTTTCAATAACTATAGCTGTGAATTCTGCGTCTATTTTCGTACAGAAATGACAACATCAATTTAAATGGGTTTAAAAGCAGCTCTCATAGCTGAACTCCGCCTATTCATCATTTCTTTGAATTTTATTTAATTTGTACTTCTTATTGTGATGAATAAAGGCATATTATTATTATTATTAATTTTTTGTGATGACTTGAGTCAAATTTATTGTGGAGAACACTACTGTTTACCCACCGCCATTTAACCAGAGTATTCAATTCATGGCTGGAAGGAAAATTTGTATCTTCCGGAAAGTGTGTTCCTTCGTCATATCATCTGGTCAGGATAGACTCTAGAAACGCGCCCACTTTCAGAATGGGTACATTTCGGGGTAATTGCCATTGCCATTGAAATAGTATCCTTAGACTTGAACAATTCAATCATGATGAAACATTCGAAAAATTGAATCAATGAATACCCAGAAAAATAACTCCACATATCCTGCATTTGTGAAAACCTACACATACATATAATTTATACGTTTATTTATTCAAAAATTGTTTCAGATTATACGGTAATGTCGGCAATTTCTTTACCGGCACTCCAAATGTCAGTGGGATTAATTTGAACAAGCCAAGCTCTTCAAGGTCAATACCAAGACCGAATGATGTCATAGAATTGAATGACTGATTATTGAAACAAAACTTTTACAATGATGGTAATTAATGTAGTAATATTTATTTTAGATTTGAATTACTATTCTATTTTATTCTTGTAAATATTTCATAATAGGTTAGGCTCCGAATAAGTTCTACTGTATTTTGTTGATGCTTTCTCTGTGATTCTGGAGTTTATATTTAGGTTAAGCATACACTTTTGTAGTTAAATAATTTATGTATTTTTTGTAAATACATTTCTACTTTAAACTTAACCAGTGTTTTATTATGAAAATTGTACCAAAAGGAAGCAAAACTAATATAATGGACGATATTTGATAAGTATTGAAATCTTGACCCGGTTTCATATTTTGTTATTGAATTATAATTTTTCATAACTGTCAATGTAATTTTTCACAATAATTCAAAAATGACATTGATCTACCAATTTGTTATTTGTTGTGGTTTTTATGTGTGTTTGTTGTACAAGAAACAACATCACAAAAAAAGAACCTAAAAATATTGCAGGGTTATAACGGAACCTCTCCTCTGCAAGTGCATAGCTTTCTCATGAAATGAACCCCATATCCAATCTACAAAATGTATAAATACATCAAATTACTGATTAATCATATGGTTTATATTACGTGAAGGCCAACCTTTACCAATGTGACTCCTTACAACATTGATAACAGTACTTGAAAATTTTTGAAAGTTCTTCGTGTATTGGTGGTATGGAACTGAGATATATTTATCTTGGTTTTCGTCGTTTTAAAAAGTCGAGATTTCGTTTATTCTTAACCTAAACTTTTTTTTTCTTATTATATCATCTACAATACTCCTCGAGAAACCGTTAGTGGCTGCTATTTCCTGTATTGTACGTTTTTTTTTTGTGAACCTCTTATGTGTGAGAGGAAAAGTCAAAAGGCGATGCACTAAAAAATTCAGCCCAGTAAGTTTGTGCTGTCACACTTCGTTCTCAGCTTTTGATGAGGACGGATGTGTGTGAGGGAATTGTCAGAGTTAAATTGCAGTTGAAAGTGTTTTTCTATCGTACAGTAAACGTGAATGTGAATAGTGAAAAAGGACACATAAGTAAGGTATTTGAAATTGATTTCTTATAAACTCAGTGAAAGAGACACATAAAAACGAAGTTCTCGCATTTGTTTGGAATACATGCATTCAATGAAATAAAAAGCGGCTTTGTTTTTAATCGATAAATAAATCTTATCAGTGCTAGAACAAAAAATGAGATAAGGTTTTTGGGCCAGCGAAATATTTGTATACCAAAAATTGGCGAAGGTGCACCTTCGTCAATTTATTGAGTGTCAGGACTTGTAATATTATAGCATAAGTGGAATTTGAGAAATCCTGAAAATTAGTTGGATGAAAACCACTACAGAAGTACAGGATGGATTATAAGAAAAGGAAAGGTTTTGGAGACAGAGATCCAGATCTTGATATTTTCAAGCCGAGGGAATCTTTGGAGAGGACACCGCCGGAGAAGCGGAAAAAGCTGATTGAAAATGTATTTCAAGAAGCTAAGTCAAATATGGAGGGAGCGGTGAAAGATATATTGAATAAATCGAATGAGACGATTGAACAGTTGAGAGAGGAGCTGAACAGGACGTTGATGGAGAGTGATGAGGAACCAGGAAATGAAGAAGAAGGGACACATTTATGAGTATGTCTAAATGGGGAGGTAATTCACAGTCGGACGCAGACGTGTGGACAGCCATGATCGGGGATATGGTCGGGACTATCCAGAAGGCCACGACCAGATTCTCTGGGGGCAAGGTGCAATTTAATAGAGAAGAGCAAAATGCTGTAAGCGGCAGCTTCCAGCCTTGATTATCAGGCTGGAAGGATTAGTAGGGTGGATGAATGGTATGGGTGAAGAATGGCGAATCATGAAAAATATGATAGGAAATATTGACAGGCAGATCAATGGCACAGGTAAGAAACAGGAGTCTGGAAAGGACATGAGGGATAAAATGAGTACCGGAAAGTCACGGCAACGGGTGGAAGAAACGAGACTTTCGGAACTGGTAACCACTACCGAGATGGAAACTGATGCTGATATGGAGGCAGCAGGAGAGGAAACAGATGCCGGATACAGAGAGGTGGAGAATAAAAAGAAACGGAGAAGGAAAAATAGAGGGAAGAAAACTTACCCAGTGGCGTTGGAGAGACCGAGGCAGGAGAGGACAGGGTGGAAAACACCACCCCCTCTGGATGAAGAGATGTAGTAATGAAGGCAAACGAGGAGGAAACGATACCGACCGCACGAATTGTGAGCGAGAAACTTAGACAGGAGGGGTGCCTGTCATACGTGGAGACTGTCACCCGAAATCGGACGGGGGTGGTGGTTATCAAAGGAAAAACTGAGGAAGGTAGGAAAAGGATCAGGGACGTACTCCGGGATGAAAGTAGGATTAAGGTAAAGGATGGTCAGAAGCCAAATCCCCATGTCCTACTCATGGTAGTTGAAAAGGGATATGGGGACGAGGAGCTGATCAGACTTCTGTTGGGTCAGAACCCAGAGTTGGGTGATGACCTAACGGAAACTGATCTAGAGAGTATGGGGGTGAGGAATCGGAGAAACTGTAGAAATGAATGGAGAGAGAATGTGATACTAGAGCTGAACGCTAAGCTCTTCCGGAAAATGATGTCCTTGGGAGTGCTGAGCCTGGACTTGGCAGAAATCTATGTGGGTGAGCACAACAGTGTTGCGGTGTGCTTTAATTGTTGCCACTTTGGGCACACTACCAAGGCATGCCGGCAGGAACCTGCATGTAACAAGTGCGCAGGGCAGCACGAAGGGCGCGAGTGCAGGGGTGATAGAGGACTCAGTTGTGGAAACTGCAAAAGAGTCGGAGTGGTAGCGAGTGAAAGGAGGCACTCGGCACTAGATCCGAAGTGCCCAGTATATGTGAGGAGGGTGCTAATTACGTTCAGGGTACTGCAAATTAATGTGGGAAAAGGTAGGGAAGCTACCACACTATTGCGGAAGACCGCAGAGGAGCGTGACGCCGCAGTGGTGTGTATTCAGGAACCCTGGGCTAGAGAACCGGCATGGGAAGGGTGGGTTAAATATGATGGTGGGGAGGGCACTAAGGTACCAACCTGGGTCCGATCCACTGTCAATAGTCTCGCCCTCAGGAATGCTAGAAGCTCGAATGGGATAGGCATAGTTGTAGGAAATGAGAGGGGAAATGTAAGGATTATGAATGTGTATGACGATCCAGGTGGAATGAGGAATGTGAGAATGGATGCAATAAGGAGAATATTTGATGAATGGGAGGGGAAAAAGATTCTGGTTGGAGACGTGAATGCGAAGAATGTAGCATGGGGTGGAAACACCACGGATGAGAGGGGAGAAGATGTGCTAGAATGGGTGATGAAGAAGGGGTACTTGATAGAGAATGACTGTGAAAGTCCGGCCACTTTCTCCAGTAACAGAGGTGAAAGTTGGGTTGATTTAACCATCAGCGAGAGTGTGCAAGTAAATGAATGGAGAGTGTGCATGGAGGAAACTATGATCATAGGATGATTGAGTTTAGCTTGATGGGGTTACCTAAGATGAGGAGAGCATTAGTAGCGAATGTTAGAGGAACCGACTGGGCTGGAGTCGAACAGATGATGCTCGGATACCAGCTCGGGAGGTTAGAAACGAAAGAGGACATCGACAGAGAAGCTATGCAGTTTCAGGAAAGAATTAAGGAAGCATGCATGAAATTTATACCTAGGAGCGAAAAGGTGATGAATACGGAGAGGGAATGGTGGAGCGTAGAGCTTGAAAGCCTACGAAGGCGTGTAAGGAGAATAAGAAGGGAGGCACAAAATGCGAGTGGAGGAGAGGAGAGGAGGCGAAGAATGGAAGAGCACAGGAGGGAAAGGAATAGGTATAAGAGAGCCATAGGGAGGGCAAGAATCAATTGGTTGGGGGTGAGTGGAGCGGATCCAGGATGAAAATCTATGGGATCGAGCCTATCGACTCCTCAACAATGATAGAGCGGAGGAGATACCGTCCAATGTCTTGAAGGAGGATGGTACCTACACCGAGGGGAGGGAGGAGACCAGCAGGTTTCTGCTGGGCAAATACTTCCCCAAGGACGATCCTCTGAGAGACCCCCGACTAGGCGCTGGTGGAGGGAGAGAGAGGAGGAAGAATGTTGAGAAAATCAGCCTGGATTTACTATCGGGGAGCTGAGAGCTGTGGCTGAGCAGCTGTTTGATGGGAAGTCAACAGGAGTGGATGGGGTCCCGAACGAAATTATTCGTAAGGTGATGGAATGGAAGGGAGAGTGCATGGTGGAGCTATTCAGCACCTGTCTGGGGAAAGGGCATTTTCCCGGAGCGTGGAAGCGAACAAAGGTAGTATGGATACCGAAGAAGGACGGAAATCCCAGGCCAATCAGCCTGCTGACTGGCATGGGACGGATGTTGGACAGGCTTCTTAACAGTAGGATGCAAGTATAGTGTGAAAGAAAGTTGAAATTCTCCCCGAATCAATTTGGGTTCAGAGAGGGAATGGATACCGTAATGGCAGTAGAGAGAAAGGTGAGTAGAATAAAGGAAAACAAGAGAGGAAGGAGACATAGTCTGGTTGTGGCGTTGGACCTGCCAAACGCCTTTAATACCGCATGGGCACCGGCGATTGAAGTATGTATGAGGCGAATGGGAATGCCGGAAAATGTGGACAGGACAGTCACCTGTGGGGCGGTCTCTGAAACGGTAAACAGAGGCTGCCCACAGGGGTCAAGTTTGGAACCGACCCTATGGCTAGTGATGAAGGCATGGTTCGAGAGAATCAATAGTATGCAAATCAGGAAAGGCATAGGAGCAGTAGGAGTACAAGTGCAGGCCTATGCGGATGACCAGCTTGTCATCATCGAGGGTAACTCTGTCGATAGCATAGAGAATGGATGGAAGTTGGTATGGGACGAGTGTAAAGCATGGGAGGAGGAGATGTGGCAGAAGTACAATGAGAGGAAAACGGAGTGCATGTTCATACCAACTGGTAGGGATGTAAGACTCCCGGTCCTAAGAATGCATGGAAGAGAGATTGGACAAAAAACGAGTGTGAGATATCTCGGAATTGTGGTGGACACAGGACTTCTGTTCATAGACCACCACAAAGAGGTAAGGAGAAAACTGAGTGAGCTGGCAGGGAAATTGAGGAGGTGGACCGGGAAGAATGTTGGATTAAAGAGAGAATGTGTAAGGATGATATATAAAAGGGTGGCCAAACCTGCAGCATTGCACGGGGTAC